CTCTGCCTTCTCCGAGTCAGCCAATCCTCTATCCATGCTCGTACCTTGCCCCTAACACGCTGGGCTTTTAACCTATTTAGCAGCCTCCTGTACGGCACTTTGTCAAAGGCCTTCTGAAAATCCAAATATATTACGTCCATTGCCTCTCCTTTGACTAACACACTCATTACCTCCTCAAAGATTTTTAACAGATCTGTCAGGCATGACTTCTCCTTGATGAAGCCATGCTAACTCACCCCTATTTTCCCATGTACTTCCAATACTCCACAATCTCATCCTTAGTAATGGGCTCTAAAATCTTACAAATGACAGAGATCAGGCTAACCAAACTATACTTTCCTGTCTTCTGCCTCCCTCTTTTCTTAAACAGGGGTGTTTAATTTTCCAGTTCTCTGGGACCCTTCCTGACTCCAATGATTCCTGAAAAGATCACTAGCAATGCCTTTACAATCTCCTCACCTATTTCTTTCCTACACCTATTTCCTTCAGAACAAAGCTACCACATTTCCTTGACCTCTGTGACTTGGTAATAGAGATCATCATGTTCATTTATTTCTATTTGTGCTGAAAACTAATCTATCTTGTTACAAATGTTGTGTACATTCAGATGAAAAGCTTTAAGCTTTTTTTTTTAACCATTATTACTTGCTCTGTATTCTTTTACATACATTTCTACCCTTCCTGTCACACTTTGAATATTGTTTGCTTCTATCGTACACTGCACCTCAGCTCTTCAGTTTCTTTTTGATTTTTTAAACTTCCCTTCAATTGAATGCTCACCAACATGATTTAGTTTAAAGGCTTACCTACAAACCTAGTTATATGATCCTCTAGGTCACTGGTCCCAACACCATTCAAATGAAACCCAAACAATGGAACATCTCTCTCTTTGTAGTATGAGTGTCAGGGCCACATAAATCTGAACTATGTCTTTACCTCTCTAATCTTATTTATTTTACACCAATTTGCACATAGTTCTGGTAGTGATTATTACCTTTATGGTTCTGATCATAATCCCATAGCAGAATGTCTTTCCTGATTCTACTTGTGTTGTTGGAATCCATATAGACCATCATAACTGGATAAGTGCTGTGATCATTTTCCTCATCCTCCCTGTGCTCTCATCCACACAGGGAGAAGAAACCTTGTACCTATTGGATAAGGACACTGGCCAAAGGTCTTCCAAACTTAAATTCTGGATCACCATACCTGCCTCACTTGTGGTCGTATCCTCCTGCCCCTTTCCACAGGCAAAATTTGATGTAATTAATCTAAGGGGTATGGCTGTCTCCAGAATTAAATAGATTGATATTGTCCTGTCGTCATTCATATATCCTCTCTGCTTTATACATCTTGCTCACATATCAAGGTGTATAAAGATCATCTGTGAGGTTTTCAGAATTTATTTACTTACAGAGAGTGAAAAAGTCTAGTGGAACTAATTGTCATCCTGTCATATTGCATTCTGTGTCAATACAATTGTGTTAATGTTTTCACTGCATTCAGAAAAAAAATGCTACTAGCATCACCATTGTCTATTGGGAGGAAGGAAGGGGACCTACAGTCTAGGACATGGGAACTAAAGTGTGTAACATTTTGGGACTTCTGGCCAAAAAGCCTGAAATTTGCTTACTTCTGAAAACCAGATATACAAACCTTGTTGAAAGCTTTATTTCTTCTAGGAATAGATTTCAGTTTGAATCATTCCTAAAATTCCTATGCCAAGATGCAATGTAATCCATAGGTGTTATTGTGACCAGTTGATGCGAGGTGAATCAGCTTCCCTCTTTTCAACTTCCTAAGTTGGCCACAACAAAGGTTTAATATTGATAGAGTGTGCAGCTCTACCTTTCTCCTGTGAAAATGCAGTTAACTGGATCACCGGAAACGATAAGGAGCCAATTACAAGGTTTTCTTAAGTGAAAGGAAGAAAAATTCTCTTTGTTGTCTGACTCAGAGAAAAAATAACAAAGACTATTAAAACATTCAAACACAGACTGACATAAGTAAAATGTTAAAAAGGGTAGTGCCCAGCCAAAAAAAAAAATAACAGTTTTAAGTTTATTCTTGAGGTATTAGGTTTTAATTTGAGGCCACATTTGGTTAGGGATGTTCTGGATCAATGGCAGCTGTGAATATTGTAGATATCCTTAAGTTCTCTGTATTCAGATGTTTCCCAATTTGCTTTGTTACCAGACCTCATTCTTCCAGAGAGAAAGAGACAGAGATAGAGAGTCAGAGAGAGAGAAACACTTCTTCAGTTCTCATCATAAATCCATCTCTTCTGATCTGCCAAAAGCAACCTCCTGAAATCCAAGCAGCATCACAGGAGCAGAGAGGCTGACGTTTCGGGCCTAGACCCGAATTCTCCAGCATCTGCAGTTCCTACTATCTCCTGAAATCCAGCTGGTTTGTGTTTTCCAATGACTGAGCTTCTTATTTTTAATGAAAGCAAACTACGGCAGATGCTGGAAACCAGACAAAAAGAGTAGTCATAAAAGCATAAATGCTAGAGAATCTCTGGCAGCAACTGTGGACAGAGGAAGAGATATAAAGGTTTGAGACCAATACAACTCTTCTTCAGGCTAGAAAGTTACAGGTGGTGCCTTTCATCTCCAATATGTGAAAATTATTGTACCAATGTAAGCCAAAATAAGGGGTATCAGCGTCTTCTTGTCTATTTGGTTTCAGTCCTTTTTGGATAACACTGTTAATTTCAGTTCTTTCTCATTCCTAAACAGTGAATGAAAGGAATATCAATTTTACTACTTGTTTAACCCAGAGGAAATCTAATAAAGGCATGACATCAAACTCACTTGAACACAAGTAAATTGTTAAAAAGGAAATAGTGCTCCAGAGAGAAAAGGGATGGTAACATAATATGCAATATATGTAAATGATAGTTTCCTGAACCGTAGCACAACCTGTAGTCAAATAATTACTGCAGACATTTTTAAGTCAATGCTTTTTGTTTCCTTTTGAAACCATTTTAGTCCATGTAATTCCCACATATTTAAATCACATGATGGAAGCCAAACATTGAATGTCATTATTTTGTTACTATCATGTGTTTTGGACCAGACCAGACCCACTCGAAATAGTTTAAGAAGGTAGCCCAGACACTAACATTTTCTTAGTTTAAAGGTGGATGTGAAGTGAATGTTCCAGATGCGATGCAACTGGCCAAGCTATTCAACGTTAAGTGAAACACAATTTATTTAAACACTACAGTTAAAATACAAACAAAAGAAAGAGGAATTTAGAATAACTTAACCATTGGAAAACTTAACTGAATAATAGGTACAGTACCTAATGCTAATTAACTGTTCCAATATAGTAACATTCCATAAACAGACCCCTTGGCAAAAGGTAAATTCAGATACACATTCTTACATGCAGTTGTCCAATCCAGAAGGAAAAAACATCAAGGAAGATTTCAGGGAAAGTAACAAATAGGAATCATTCATTATAGCTCCAAATCTTCCTGGAACCCAAACAGCTTCTTACTGCTAAAGCTAAAAGAAACTAAGAAGCCTGGTCTGTGAGAACTGGCTATTCCCCTTTCATTGTTTCAACTGTTTAAAAAAATAACCTAAAGGCCTTCTAAGTTATTTACGTAAGTCGTTTACAGTGGCCAGTTCAGTACCTCTGCCTTTACAGCCTCTCTTCAAAAATAAACCAAGGACAAAATAACCTTTTCAAAGTGGCAGCATCATCACACATAACTGTATAAGGGAAAATTCAGATTAATGTCTGTATTTTTTCTCACCATAAGCAGAAAACCCTGCAGACTTGGAGTACAATCAACAACCATGACAACAAAAATGTTATATAGAATTGTTTTTTTATTTCATACATTATAAATAATAGAATTCTTCAAAAATGGCAGTCAAGAATTTGGTACTGGAAAAGAACTTTTCACCATCTCAAAATAAGCTTTCTAATACAAAGGCAAGTAGTCATTTTATTTAACAATGGCAATGATCAGAACATTTTACTCACTATTTTACAATAATAATTAATAGATATAAATGGCATTCGTGTAACCTGGCTTGGACTTAAAGAATGATTTAAAGTGAAACTGAAGAATTGGAAGTCTTAGTTGGAGACTTAGATGTGTGAAAAACAAAAAGTATACATTCACCAAAGTTAAAAGTGCAGCTACATTGCCCTAAATTGTTGCATTTCCCCCTCTCTGTGCTTATTAGTAAATGCATCTTAGAACTAAGTTAGTCAGCTGTTTGATCTAAACAAACACAAGCTTTTTTTTTGTTTCTTTCACCTTATGGACAATTGCAAAGATAAAAACAACATGATAAATGGAATGACAAAGTTTTTATATTAGACAATCTTTGGATATTTCAAATTCAAAATTTTTTAGCCTTATCTGGGGAATACTATTACCATACTTTATCTTAGGATTATATTTCTGCTTTAGTTGTTGATGTTTCAAGACATTGTTGTTTTCGTGAATGCACCTGTATTTTATGCCTTTAAACAGACAATAAGCCATCTGCTAGAAAGGATTCCATCAACATGTTGGAAATGCAGCATGACAGAGATGGCCTGTCAGCCCTTAATGTAACAGCGGTTTATTTATTCATTGGATATGAGTATCACTCAGAAGTATAGCATTCATTACCTATCCCTAACTACCCTTGAGGAGGTGGGGATGAGCCACCTTCTTGAACTGCTGCAAACCATGTTGTGTAGGTACATCCGAAAGACTATGAGGAGGCTTCCAGCATTATAGCCCAGCAACAGTGAAGGGCAAGTCAGGACAGTGTGTTCAAACTGATCAAATCATTTCTCTCCTGTGACAAGAGAGTAACAGTTATATCCAGACAGTCTCATCAATATCTCATCCATAGGGTTATGAAAGGCAACACCATCAAACAGACACAACACACAGACTTCTGGTCTCATTAACATGGATTGTTCCTCCATTATTTATGTGGCATTTGGCAGAGTAAACATTCCATGGAAAGTTAGTAACAAAATAAATCTAATGTCCTTTTATTTGTGCCTTACACAAACTGAGTTGACAAATGGAATATATTGCTCTCAAAGTGGACATCACAAATATGTAATTCGGCTGACTAGTTATCCAAGTGCAGCACCAGAGAGGTGGGGGATTGGGTTACAAATCCACAGCCGAATTGAGTGTGTCCCAAGTTTTGACAGCATTCAGTAAAAATAAAATCTCAGTGCAAAATCAGATCATGCTTCGGAATTTATGTAAGAATGTTTGAGAATTTGGTCTCAAGTTTCTGCTCAGGTATACCCTATGTTTTCATTTTAACCATCTGCCTTTATCTATTTCTAAACGTCAATTACATACAGACATGGGAATAAAAATCCTGTTTTCAATGAGTTTACATAAAAGAAGAGGGTAGTCATAGTACAGAGAATTGTTTTTCTAAAATTATTGACTGGAGGAAATCCATTCTTTTGTAACATAATATTAAATCATATTTGCCTATAACCAGTGTAAACACTATAGGTAAAAGAATCAAGCTGTGCAAATTTAAGTTTCTTATCAATACAACAATTTAGCAGCACACTCAAAGAAATAACACAAAAGAGAAAAATCACAACTTATTCAATACATTTTTCAACATTACAAACTCCATTATGTTACACAGAAGAGCACAATATCTAATGTGCAAATCAGAATATTTTTCCATTTTGCTTCACAAAAAATAAAGACCCTAAACAAAATTAAATCCAGTTTAGATAATTTCATTAAGTACTGAATTTTTAAAAAAAAATTTATGATTTTTATTAAAAGCTGTAAAAATGTTGTTATTTTAATTTGCAATATGAAAAGTACATATAAAAATAAATTGGTCTCCATTTTGGAAGTTGCAATGCATTATTTACAATAACTTTCCATTTATTCTGGTATTTACTAAAAAAAGTATAAAATTATGAAATGAAGCTCAGTTATATTTTACCTGAAATGAAGGCAGAGCTAAGGATAATTATTTCATTGAAGGAGACTTCTGCAGTAATTTCTGGCATCACTTACTGATAAACATGCTAAATGTCCATTCCAACTAACAATCGTGGTAACTACAATTAGATGCTATACTGACTGATGGCAGGGCAAAGATTTCAATTTTCAAATTTTCCCACACCACCAAGTTCTGGATTTTAGATTTTCCATGGGGACAACTGATGTCAATATATGTAAATAACTGACCCAGGGCCCTGTTGGCAAATAATTCAGAAAAATACAATGCAATAGCAGATTACAACGGTTTAATAACTTTCTGCATTAAAAGTAGTGACTAATATATTCAGTCACTTGTAGCCTAAAGCAATCAACTTGACTGGACTGGAAAATATGTAAGTTTGTATTCACATCATTTGTTAGAAAATTGGTGCTTGGCATTTGAAAATCTCTGTTCTGCTCAAGTGGGTTCTAATGATTGAAATAAAACGTGAAAACATAAATACTGCTGAGGGGAGAATAACTGAATGAATTGGCAGGCACAGTAATCTCATCAAGTTCTTAGTGGCTTGTGATTACTCCCTACCCAACAATTGTATTCATATCCTCCAACAAGCAAAATGCACATATGTCTCAGGGCGGGAGGGGTCAGTATGTGACACTTTCAGATTCCTTCAGTGCTACTTGTTATTTGACTGATGAGGAAATGCATCTCTACAAAGGATGAAATAATTCCGCCACAAGTCAATGTTTATCCAAATAGTTGGCAAAGCAACTTGATCCTCTTGACACAGGCTTTACTGGATGTTTCACAATCTCTTTTGGGATTTGAAATGCTACAGAAAGGATATAATTTCCAAGATCCTCACTCTTCCTTATTTTATCTAATTGTTCAGTTTTCCAACTGTTTTCAATGCCATCCCTTATAAAATAAAAACACCACACAAAATTTATGTACATTTCAGGGCATACTGGTGTTTTTGAGTAAGGAAAGATTTTGTCAGTATTAGAGAAAGGGTGATGATGATTGGACCACATACATGAATCATCGCATTATTGCGATATTGTTGTGCTCTAAATCACTAAAATTGAAAATGAATGGTATTCAAGCATTTTTTTTTACTTACAGAAGTCTCTCTTCAATGTATAAAACACCTTTTAAAGAAAACAGCTCTATAACTGCTACTGTACAGCAGTTTTGTATGGGATATTCCTTGAAGCTGGGTTGAGGCACTTTGTCATAGCACTTTAATGATTGTGGCACTTGCAGTGATGTGGTTGCTGAACTGACAAAAGGTCAATACGTCATTCCCCACTACAATAATCTTCCTAGTTAAGTAAATGTTGTGTGTTGCAAATTAATTTTAAAAAAAACTTGATGGAACCTTAACACATTTTGAATTAGACTTAAGAGCATAAATTTGGATGAAATAAATCTTCATCCTTTTTATATTTCTATAGGGTTCTCTGTGCTTTGTTAAATAGCAAATACAGTGTAAAACATAAAGGTGATGTGTTAAAGATAGATGACCATTATATAAAATCTAATCAGAAAAATGGTCAGAATCTTATTCTGAAATGCTGTTGGAATTGCCACTGAACCGCTGATAAACATTTAAGGATCACAGCTTTAATATCTTACATTACAGATAAATGGAAATCTACTGTACCATAAAATTAAAGTAATGCAATTGCTGAAGTATATTTTCTGCTGTCACATTCGTGATATTATACTCTTTTGTTCTCTAGATACATTTTATTTGAAACATTCACCATTGTCTTATCAAATAGAGATGCGCTTCACTTTGAAGTTGAAGTTGAATCAGATTTCTTTGAGAGATTGCTTTGATAAAGAGATAATGTTTGATGCAAGAATTGATATTGCTCACTTGTCTGGATCATTCCACCCCTAAAAGAAAGAAGTTGGGTAAGCCATATAATATTTGTGAAACAAGGTCATATGAGATCTTTACACAGCTAATATTATTTCAAATTAATTCAGCTGTGAGTTTCAGAACACGGAAATCAGATGTCAGATTATTGATTGAACACAGTAACTCTGTTCTGGTGTGCTGTGATCCATTTTAATGCAATAGTGTAACTTAAAGTAATTGGATCTTTACTGGATATGCGAGCAGTGGAAGGACATTTTGTTCATGATCTTGAATTCTATTGTAAAGGAGTGAATTATATTGCACAGAAATGCCTAAAATAAGCAAATAAAGAATGTGAGATGAAGAATTGATCATTTTTTAGAAATACATTTAAGAAATAAGATCGATGTTTTGCATTTTGATACCAGGTAATTTTAGATAAATTTGAGCTCCTTATATTATTTCCAACCAGCAACTTTAAAGCATAATTTCCTATTAGAAAGTGATTATTTTGAAAATAAAAGCAAAATACTGTAGATGCTGGAAATACACAGGATATCTGTCAGCATTTATGGAAACAGACACAGAGTCCCAAATCCAAACTACTTGTCATTCATAAATCTTAGGGAAGACTGTTGAACTTGTCAGAGTAAAAGATGTAGATATTTGAAATGTAGGAAACTCCTCACTTTAGTGGATGTCAACATCGAGCATCTCTACAGCATTCCAGGAGAATAAACAGTGAGGAAAACAGCCTCTACCTTATTAAGTGCTTCTTAATCCCTGGCCCAGATTTTCACTCATAAGGGGAGCTTGCAGAGCTGGGGAAATTTCTTACTCCCCCAACCCACCAGAAAAAAAACACCCTCGATTGTGAGATCATGGAGAGTGGGTACACGCTGGAGTCAGGTTTGCTGTCCCTGGAAATAGTGAGATGGTGGACACAAAGATGGTGAGTGTAAAGGGGGTGCTTGTTAAAAGGCCCACTTCTGTTCTTTGGGACCTCATTTTATTTGCATTGTTCCATTATGGTCCTCAGCCTTTTGCACTATTTCTTCTCTCTTAACTAGTTCCCACGAACCATCCATGCCATCTCAGGCCAATGCATGTCACCTATCCACTTTCAATGGCCCCTGATTAAGTCAATGGCAACATGTGTCCCTCCATTCATCTCCATGGCCCCTTATATCTTCTGTGCCAACTAAGTAATACTTGAAAACACATGAAACCCATTCAAACCCATAGCCCCTAACAGTACCTTTGCCAACTCATGACCCCACTCACTAGCATTTGCCCTTACACTGTCTATTCTAACTCAATTGGAACACAGCAGAGGCAGAACTCAGAGACCATGCTGAGATGAAATTTAATAGATTTAAGATATCTACTACTGACTTCACTGCATTAAATAACCTCTCATACCAATCATCGCTACTTATGTCTGACAGTGATTGTAATTTCCATGCAAAACTCTTGCAACTGAAAAGGGAGCACTTCAAATATATAGACCAGATTCTAATCCTGATCTCATGAAGAAAATGACTCCATCTATAACTGTCCCTGTTCTCACCACAGAATGAAATTTCCACTCTTTGGGGAAGTTTCTCCCAAGGTGGAACTGGAAAACTTCACTAAAAATAAAACAAAGAACTACAGATGCTGGAAATTTGAGCAAAAACAGAAATAGCTGGAGGAACTCAGCAAATGTGGCAGCATCTTGGAGAGAAAATAGAGGTAACATTTCAAGACTTTGCTTTAGAACTGCAGAAGAAGACGCTGCCAGACCTATTGAGTTTCTCCAGCAATTTCTGCTTTTGCTGTAAAATTGAACATCTCATGCTCCCCACTCAGGAGTAAAAATTCAGACAAAGAATCAATAATTCAAAGTGAAATTAGTGAGCTTTTATAAATGCATCTCTTAATCAAGAACAGTACAGATATGGTAAACATCAACTTGAGAGTTCATCTTTGAAGAAACAATAGAATGAGCCTTACTAAAGGTGAGATTTAATTGTATTGTTACAAAGTGTTGATGAGGTGTCTCACAAGACACTTATTGGAAAACAATCCAGAATATAAGAAGAAAAGTGGAATCATTGGAAGACAGTTGGTTGATGGACATGATACAATGAATTAAGGCAAATGAGTTTTCAATAGATTTAAGGTTTCAATGTTTGCCATTGTTTGGACAATTTTTATTCTCAATGTATATAAATCATTTGGATTTGGAAGTAGTGAGCAAAATGATAGTGTTTCCATTTTACACGCAATTGGAAAATTGCACTGAAATTGTGTTGAGAATGATGCTGGTTAGGCTATGATTCAAGTTTCCAATAAAATTAATTGGCATATTCATGAACTCAAGCCTTCTGTTAGTCTTGCAATTGGACAAAGTAACAGAATATAACAGATTAGTTTTTCATAAAAAAGAAACTTTGATGTATTTAAGAGTAGTAACCTCACATAATTTTATTAATCAGGCTGAAAATTGATAGTTCAACAAAAATAAACATACTTAATAGGTTAGCAATTAGACTTAAGCTTTTGAAACTGGCTTAAAATAACTAACATTTTCTATTTTAATTGGCGCATTCTAGTCAGTTTGTATAAATTAAGTAACTTTTAATATGAAAACTTTTAAATTGTATTTTTTAGACCTGTGTGCCAAGGAAAATAAGTATAATTTAGAGAAAGTTCCAGGACTAGAGTAATTGGCTGAATCTCTCAATTTTTGACATGAGGTCATGGTCAGTTTTATTGAGACAACCAATTTCAGCAAATTAAATCTTAAACCAGCAAAACAATCATGAAATATTTTGACACAAGTACATCAATTAACATTAATATTCACCTTCCTTTGTCAGAATGGGGTCTAGGGGTAGGCTAAGAGTCTCATGAACAAGAATAACTCAGATACAATATGATGTGAGAGACGCTACAAAAAGACACTGATTCAGAACTGTGGTGAGAAGACCCTTGACAAGCCAAATGTCGGGATGGACAAGAGGATAGTAACAATCTTAGCAACATGAAACCTAAAAGCTTATTGCACTTGTTGGGATTTAGGAAAAAGGGACCATGGAAAAGGAACGACTGTAGGGAAAACTTCCTGGAGTGGAGAGTCATTTTAAAAGTGAAGCATGTGGCACAGTCATGATCAACATTCTCAGTCAAATCTAATGCTGAATATCTCACCTATTGTGCATCAAACACAGTTAAATCTGCATCCTTTGGGCTTGAAGGCATGAAATTGGAGACAATTCTACTGGGAATGGTCAGAGTGGGAGAAAATTGGTGTCTTACTGAGTCAACAATAGGGATTTGCTGAACAGATTAATAATTGAAAGATTATTATGTTGAACAGAGGACAAAGGTTGGATAGTTGAGAGTTTGAAAGTGCTTTAGTAAGTAACTTGGAGGTAGAGTTTACTTAGCATGGACACAGATAGAAGCGGTATGCAATCTGAAAAGTGAAGAATATTAGGCAATAGTCAGACGTAGTGCCTTTCATATTCTCAGAATATGTGAAGGCATGGTACAACAATAAAGTTTATTTTGAAATGTGTTTGTTTTGAAGGCAGATGAAGCAACATGATTGCATGCAATAATTTGGCAGAAATTGAATCCTGACTTGTACAAACAATGGATTATGTGGAATTTCAATAAAATGAGATGAAGTGTTTCTGATGTTGATAGGATGGCATCTTATTGCATGTTGCAACTGGTAAGTAGGTGTGCTATATTCTATGTTAACAGTACATGACATTGACATCTGAAGCTAAAATTGGAAATGTTACTGTCTAAAAAATTTCTATCCACTCCTTAAGTCACACAACATATTGAATATTGATTTTAGAAATCTTGAAAGCATCAACACTGACCTGTCTGTCCGCATCTGACACACAATTCCAAGAATGTCCACTTCGTTGGTCTCTTTTATCTGTTGACACCCGATGCTTGTAGCAATGAAACAGCCTGTCCTCCCAATCCCTGCACTAAATGCAACAATTACTTTCAACATTAAAAGGATTCATGAGGTGGAAATTAGCACTGAATTTGATGCCAATATGGGGGCAAAATAGAGACAGGCAGATACATAAATTTGCACTTTACATTAACAGGGATAAGATTGGAAATAAGTTGCTAAGGTAGTTTACAGGTTAATTCAGTTAACTATCAGAACAACTTGAATTCACAGCCACCTTGCAAGACACCTTCAGCATCAGGAACAAGCCAGCTGCCTGGAGGTGACACAATGTAAGTTGGAGGCTCTGTTCTGAGCTGACCATGAGCCGTCTTCAAATACATGATCACAGCTATAATCACTGGGCACTCCTCTTCACAATGATGGTCTAGCCAAAACAAAACATTCCTTTTTTAAAATTTCTTTAAAATTGCTGAGAAAGTACGTCAATATGGAAGTGCCAAATCTCCTCCTGGCCAGGCTGCAGCTCCTTTCATGATGAAGGGTTTTGGGACAGTGAAATGCCCTCTGCCCACTAATTGGATGATTCGGGGAAGATTACTGCTCAGTGACCAAGTGAGAGATTGAATCTCATATTTGGTCTTGACATTGGAGTCCAAGCCCAAATCCAAAATTCATCCCTTGATTTCAAATCACAGTACAATGATGCATAAGCGCAAACCAAATACAGTCAATGCTGCCATTCTGATAAAGGTGCAGACATTATTTCTCCAAGCATTATAAATTGAAATCTTATTGCATTGACTGTACAATGACATTTCAATAATGAGGATATATGTGACTGCTTAGCCATTTTCCTTTCCTAATGGCAATGGAGAATGAATTTTCATATTTCTGAGTGATATTGCTTGTTGGAAAACGTGCTAGCATTTTTTTGTGATAAAAACTAAGATGAGGCAAAAATAACACAAAGTAGTCAAACTCGCATCTTCCTCGACTCACCAAGCACTCACAGTCACATATTGTTATGTTTCCTCTGCCTATTTTGGGTAGATTTGCTACACCTGGGAGTTACTTAAAATGGTTTCTCACCTGCAATGAACTATAATGGGACCCCTGTTTCCTGCAGCTTGTCTACTTTCTTCAACTTCATGTATGAGATCCAAGAGTGATTGTGCTGTATCTGGAGTCTTGTGATCTGGCCAGGATGAGTACCAGTAGTGCTTTACATTTCTAGACTGTTTCCCATCCTAAAAAGAAACAAGTAAATTTACTTATTGTCCTTCCAGAGTTTGCCCAGAGACCCCAGGAAATAGTTACCGGGCCAAAGTAAATTGTTATTTTTTACCTTGACTCCATTCTCTCCCCCTTGGTCCAGGTACTCCCCACCTACATCCGGGACACAAACCACACCCTCCACCTATTTGGTAACTTCAAGTTCCCAGGCCCCCAGCACTTCATCTTTACTATGGGCATTCAATTCCTATACATGTCCATACCCGACAAGGATGGCCTGCAGGCCCTCAGTTTTCTCCTCTCCAACAGACCCTCCAGTGCCACCCCACAAATACCCTCCTCCGCCTCGCCGAACTAGTCCTCACACTCAATAAGTTTTCCTTCAATCCTTCCTACTTTCTCCAAATCCAGGAGGTGGCCATGGGCACTCCCATGGCCCCAGCTACACCTGTTTGTTTGTTGGTTCTGTGGAACAGCCCCTCTTTAGTGCGTACACCAGTACTGTTCTTTAACTCTTCTGCTGTTACATCGATGAGTACGTAGGTGCTGCATCCTGCACCCAGGCTGAGCTGGAGCAGGTCATCGACTTCGCTAACAACTTCCACCCCGCCCTCAAATTCACTTGGTCTATCTCAGACACCTCCATCCCCTTTCCTGACCTCTCCGTTTCCATTTCCGGTGACAGTTTATGGACAAACATTTACTGTAAACCTACAGACTCCCATAGCTACAAGACTACACCTCCTCCCACCCTGTATCCTGCAAAAATTTCATCCAGTTTTCCCAATTCTTCCGTCTCCATTGCATCTGCTCTGACGAGGAGATGTTTGACTCCCCAGCATCCCGGATGTCCGCCTTTTTCAAACAATGCTCTTTTCTCCCCCTCTGTCATCCAGACAGCCCTCCTCCATTCCCTGCTCCACAGCTCTTGACCACCACTCTTCCTCCAAACATAATAAAGATAGGTCCCCCTCGCCCTCACTTTGCACCCCACCAGCCTCTGCATCCAACGTATCGTTCTCAAACGCTTCAGCCAACACTAATTAGACCCCACCATCCGGAACATCTTTCACTCCCACCTCTCTCTGCCTTCTGCAAGGAACGTTCCCTTCGCCACTCCCCACTAGCCACTCCACCCTACCTGGTACCTTCCCCTGTAACCATAAAAGATGTAACACCTGCCCACACACCACTTCCTTCACCTCCATTCATGGCCCTAAACAGTCCTTCCAAGTGAGACAGAGCTTCACCTGTATCTCCTCCAACCTAGTCTACTGCACCCGGCGCTCCCGATGTGGTCTTCTCTATGTTGGTGAGACCAAACGTAGACTAGGTGACCGTTTCGCTGAGCGTCTCCGCCTGGCCCGTAACGGCCAATCCAACCTCCCAGTCACCGCCCATTTCAACTCCCTGTCCCACTCCCCCTCTGACATGTCCGTCCTTGGCTTCCTCCAGTGTTGCAGCAACTCGGAATGCAAATTTGAAGAGCAACACCTTATTGAGTTGTCCAGTTTCAAATAACCTTGCCCTCCCCATTCCCCGGCTCCCCTTCCAGCCCCACCTCCTCCCTTCCATTCCACCTTCTGACCCTCTCTTCCAGCCACCAACCGGATTCATCCCGCCCATCGACCAACCAGGTCGTATCTACCACCAGTCTCCACCTATCACCACCATTCTGCCTTCATGCCGCCCCCCCCAACTTTATCTGCAGTTTCCCCCACCCCTACATTCAGTCCTAAAGAAGGGTAATACCTGAAACGTTGACTGCTCCCTTCCTCCAGATGCTGCCTGGCCTGCTGTGTTCTTCCAGCCTCCTGTCTGTCTACTTTGGATTCTAGTATCTGCAGTCTTTTTTGTCTACAAATTGTTTGTTCACTTTGTTCTTTAAATTTCTCCCCATCACCAGCCTTCTCTTTCTACCATGTATTCATCTTCATTCTCCTACTTTGAAATGTTAGCCATTCTACTGATTTTTAATATTAGACAGAACTTGACAATGGCTTGGAGGATTTGCCTCTGTTTGTTTCTTTCTTTCCCCTTTTTGAGGATAAGTACTGCTCTGCGAGAAAGTAAATTCCACAAACCCATAGCCCTTTAAGAAAAAGAAATTCACCTCATTTTCATCTTCAATGGGAGACTCTTATTTTTAAACTATGTTCCATAGTTTTAATATATTTTACAAGAGAAGGATCCTTTCAGCATCCACTCCATCAGTCCTCTCAGGGTATTATATTTTTAAATATGATCATCGCTTACTCTTCTAACTTCCAATGAGCAGATTGCTCAACTATTCCTCTTATAGCAACCCTTTCATATCAGGAATCTTCCAAGTGAACATTCTCTGAACAGAATCCATGCAAGTGTAAATGTAAAGAACTTTGCATTCTATGCAATTTTCTTTGTAGTTATTATATAAATATGCAACTTCACACCACCCAGTGCATTTCATTGTTAGCCTGGGAGGCAGAGGCTGCATTGTAAAGCTAACTGCAACGAGTTACAATTCACAAAGGAGCATCTGAATATTTGCATTCACCTGTATATTTGCCCCTTGCCTGTAATTACTGTATCATGTGTAAACTAATAAAAGTGAGCGGAATTAGCCTCTCATTACTTTGACAGTAAAAAATTCTGGACCATTTATTTTGAAAACGGAGAATATGCAAAATCATAATTAACAAGATTGAATCCACCTGCTACATTTTGCAAGTATTAACTGAGTAAATCGATTATTGCTTTAGTACCTTAATACTTAAATCCCGAATAGTGTATCCATCACATTCCTTCGTATTGTTTACAACAATTTCAAATCTGCCAAAGGTGTCCTGATTTTCTGGCCAATAGACAACACATTTCTGAAAATATAAGAAGCCAAGTGTAAGAGAGTGTGAATAACTTTACATTTTGATATCCTCTGCTCATATCAAATGTTCTCAACAGTTTGTATGATAAGTTTTTCTAAATGATAATGGTGCATTTAGAATAATTGAACAAAATCAAATGATGATTTAGGTAATTTAAGGAGAACCAACATTTAGACTGCAGGAGAGTGCCTATTGATTGACAAGTGGATTCTGATAAGTAGAACGGCCTCTGTGTTAATGCGTGTAGCTTCCAATACACATACATTTATAAATACAAGGACCCTGTTTGTTGAAGACAGAAAGAACATGTGCATACATTGTGCTTGTTTTGACTCAGCAAAATAGGTTACAGCCATTCGCTGGTTGATTTCACGGGGCAATGCTTTACCGATCAGAGTCAAGTTGCTTGGTTTAATATTTAAACAAAGCCTGGCATTTACTGTCAATCATCATTAACTGGTGCATTCTCCAGCGCAATGTCTCTATAATCAGATTTCACTTGCCAACCATATAGACATTAATCTTTTAACACTGTTTCGCTTTAAATGTCAAATTGAGTAAAAAAAAAAGCTTTCATATTCACATACCTCGTTCTTTTCTTTTAACTTTGTAATCATCACAATAATTGGACAATCATCCTGCCAAACCATTTCCCAGAAGTCATTTACTGTATTTATCATAGGGCCTTGGGTAGCAATGTATGCTTTCTCCTTTCCTCCATATCCCTGTATGAAAGAGATAAACAAAAGTGGTCAATAATAGGCACACTTGTACGAAATTCTATCCATTCATGTAGGATTGAAATTGTGCAGGGAATGACAGGAGGTCAATGCTCACAATAACACAATAAACCAGTTAAGTAATAGGACTGCACTGGGGTGACTTGATATGCTAGTATAAATCATTATGCATAAAAAGAATTCCTGGTACATCTATGTAGGAAACCAAATCTATAGAAAAATATTTATAAAGACAAATGAAAGACGACTTTCTTTAAATAAGGAAAATGTGTCCAGGACATTGGAAATAGGAAGATAAGCTATAACTTTAGAAGGTTTTGAGATAGATCACAGAACAAACAGGAGGAAAGATGAAAGCCATATCTAACTGACACCATTGAGAATTACTTGCGCAAGATTAAAATAGGCAACAATGTCTCCCACTACTAGTTGGAACAAAATGGAATTTAGAACTTGTTAGGTATTTATTGAAAGGACATGTGCAAAATTAATACTGAGCTCAGTTAAACTGAGCCAAGATATGAGGTTAGACAAGTAAATTTTTCTATGTTCTATTACAATAACACATAAATAATCTTACCCGAATGTAGTTAGCATTAATATAGGAGTTCAGGTGATTATCATTCTTTTCTGATTTGAGGCAGACTCGGGTCTGTGGGTCTAAAAATGGCAAGACAATTTTAAAAGGAATATCAAACATTGCAGGAACTGGTCAAAATCTAAACAAATCATGCAAAATAAAGTTATTCAGTAATCTGAATGTTTGAAGAGGTAAAGGATACCCTTAACCTCTGGGCTTAGAGTTGTCACTTGATGTCTCCAACTGGATTCCTAGTTGAGTGAGACACTGTTGTTATTACACATGTAGAGAGTAGTTACAGACAATACCAAATAAAATCACAGATGGAAGATATAATTAATAAAATGGCCCAAGTGAAATCTACCTGGAATGTATTGGACAAATGTTAAATGGACAGAAATTACAACACAAAAATAATCTAATTTGGCTGCTATTGGATAATCTTGGAGATTTAAGAAAAAAACATTTTGATCTCCCAGGAACGAGGCCAGGTAACATATGGGCAAACCAGGAACTGGGATTTCCAATATGCTGTGGAGTTCTTATTGCACGACTTCTGTGTGACATCACCGACTGGTTCCCTGCCTGGATGTCAGCCTCATTGACAGTCTGACAGGAAACATTGCAGAAGAGTTTACAGGATCAGGTAAGGAGTGACTTGGAGAAGTGGGGAGACTGATCATTAAAGGGGTATACTAGAGTAAGGTATTAGACGCCTGAACAATCAGATTTGGGGAATGGTCAGAGATTGGAAGCCTGTAGATTAGATACCGATGGGAGGTCTGGGGGAGATTGGGAGGCTCAAAAATGCGTTGACCATCGAGCTGGGCAGGCAAAAGCGCTGAACTCAGCATATGAGTAGAAAAGCAGTTAGATCCTGGGACAGCAGTCTTGCTCTCAGTTTAGCCAATGGGTTTCCTGAAGCTCGAGAAATCCCTGGTTTAGAATCAAATTTGAAATAGTCCATATGACAGATTCATACAGTCTCATTATAATATTTAAATCGACAGCCTGCTTTATGGGTGTGAGTTTGTCACCCTGCTTCTAATAAAGTAGAGTGGGCAAGCTGGAGGCAAGTTGGGAGTCAGGGTTTTTAACACTTACACCTTCCATCTGATCCAAACACTGTTAGTTTTTTGTGCTTAAAACCTGCCCCAAGTGTGCATAGTGTGTTCTTCTAATGTTGCCATTAATCAAATTGAACAGAATATCCTTCATTGATACAGAAGAGAGGGAACTTTGACTAATCTAACAAGAATCCTGAAATGCGCTGAAATGAGAATGCCTGTTGGCTGGAATGGATACTTGGAAAAGTTTCCTTGTTTTGCATCATAGATCATAGCATCTGTACAGCGCAGAAAGAGGTCTTTGGCTCACTGAGTCTGCACCAACCCTCTAAAGATTATCCCACTCAGACCCTACCTCCGTAACCCAAATTTAGCATGGTTAATCCACCAAGCCAGCATATCTTTGCACTGACTGTGACTTGTGTGACATGATTAAATACAAATCTTTAGTAAGTAACAGTGAAAAACAAACCTATAAATATAGAACAAAAACAAAGTTGCTGGAAAAGCTCAGCAGGTCTGGCAGCATCCGTGAAGGAGAAAACAGAGTTAACATTTCAGGTCCAGTGACCCTTCCTCAGAACTATCTATATCTATATAAATATAGATACTCTGTTGTATTAAAAAAAGAACACAAGAATAGTATGGAAGTAGTCATGGCACTTTAGAACAAGATCAGAACAGCTGTAGGAAAATGTGTCATGTGGAGTGGGTCTATATATTTTTGTTAATAATGGTAATGCTCACTGTAAATATAAGTACACAATGGATTGTTACTGACCAATTAGGCACACAATGTCATTCGTCATCCATTCACCAACTAAGTTCAAGAGCAAGTTTAAGAGAGCTCAAGATAATCTGTCTATTTCAATTCCACCATAAAACAGTTCAGTCTGTGGTAACTGAGATCTGTTCTCTAACTGGATTTCCATTAACATGGCATAAATATAATGGTGAAGAAGTGTATCCTCCCAAAAGTTCATAAGAAACATGTTATTGAAACTCAAACCTTAAACAAGAATGTAGGAAAGAAATTTAGACACACAGTATTAAGTATTAAAATGTACTGTTCCCCATGTGGAATTTGGTGACAGATTGATGACTGTCACTGATATTAAAAGCAAAGGAAACTGGGACCATTTTGTTAAATAAAACATTAGGGACATTTAAGCGACTCTCTTAAATAAAAGTTTATATTTGAGTTCCATTTAGATAAAGAATTGTGTGGTTATATGATTTGTTACATTAGATCAAATATATTCCCAATTGACGTATCTTTAACTGAAGTTTATTATTTTTGCTGATTCTGAAATATTTGATCAAGTTGTACGAAATTGTATATCTTATATTGTTGAACTTGCCAAACTTGATTAATCTGATTTGATTTGCATGGCCATGAGCTTCTCTGCTTTAGTACATGTGCTTGTGGCCAGATTTGATGTAATTAATGTGGTTCTGTCTTCAGATTGATTTTGTATGCGTCTTGTCATACCTAAGTTTGGTTTATCTATTAATTGAACTTCTACAGGCACTTTTCCTCATCTCACTTTATCTTTGTGCTCGCTATTCCAAGGCTAATTTTAGTTTAAGTTTATTCATAGTGTAGCTATATTATCCATCAACTAGAAAAGAGGAATATAAGTTTAAAAGAAAACAATGACTAAAAATCTTTATGTATGGAAGTAAAATCAAGAGAACTATAGATAGAAAAACAGGTAATAAATGTGACATACAGTGCAAGTCTGGATAACATCAGATATATTACTTTAAATATGAGAAAAGAAAAACTGTTCAATTCTCCATACAATATCTCTATGGCTTTCATTGGTAGAGGGATTGAGTCTAAGAGCCGCAAGGTTATACTGCAGCTCTATAAAACCCTGGTTAGACCACACTTGGAATATTGTGTTCAGTTCTGGTCACCTCATTATAGGAAGAATGTGGAAGCTTTAGAGAGGGTGCAGAGGAGATTTACCAGGATGCTGCCTGGAATGGAGGGCAGGTCTTATGAGGAAAGGTTGAAGGAGCTAGGGCTTTTCTCATTGGAGTGAAGAAGGATGAGAGGTGACTTGATAGAGGTGTGCAAGATGATGAGAGGCATAGATAGAATGGATAGTCAGAGGCTTTTTCCCAGGGCAGAAATGACTATTACGAGGGGGCATAATTTTAAGGTGATTGGAGGAAGGTATAGGGAAGATGTCAGAGGTAGGTTCTTTACCAAGAATGGTGGGGTACGTGGAACGCACTGCCAGCAGTGGTAGTAGAGTCAGATACATTAGGGACATTTAAGCGACTCTTGAATAGTCACATGGATGATAGTGTAATGAAGGGTTTGCAGATTAGTTTTGATCTTAGAGAAGGATAATAGGTCAGCACAACATTGTGGACCGAAGGGCCTGTACTGTGCCGTACTATGCTATGTTATATGTTCTAATAAGATGTTGTTTCCCAATTAATGGGTATGTGCGTGGGTGACTCAAATTTCAATTGATGAGATTATTTCTAAATTGTGCATTCTGTAATCTTTGATCATTTTTGTTTTAGTACACTTATATATTATGCTAGCTAAAATGCCTGAGTAGTGGCATAATTTTAACAGTGAATCGTTGTTAGCTTTTTAATTCATTTTTAGGATATGTGCAAAGATCACAGTATTTATTACCCAACCCTAGTTACCTGTGAGAAGGTTTCCATGAGCTAACTGATTGAATTGCTGCAAGAGCTGATTGCACTCCCATCAAGGCTACACTCCATGGTTAGATGCATGACAACAAATGAATGAAAATATGTCTAGGTCAGGATGATGGGTGACTTTGGACTGGAACAAGGACATAACTGTGCTGCAATTCATCCACTGTTCTTAACCTTCTATAAGAGAGTAGTTCTGGATTTGACAGCTGCACCATAAAAGCTTCAGTAACTTATTGCAGTGCATCCTATAAATAGTAAATACTGCAGCCACAAAATACTGGTAGTGATGGTATTATAAACATTGAAATATAGAATATAGGAGCAGAAATCGGTCAATTGGCCCTTTGAGCTTGCTCCACAATTCAATATGATCGTGGTTGTTGTTGTCTACAAAGATATTGCAGTGAAATGAAAAAAATTCATCACATTGCTTTGCCTCTCTCATCAACACTTTCTTTCTTACAGTCTCTCTGTTTCTTCCTTTAGATCTTTTTCTGTTTAGCTTTCCCTCTTTCTTTTATTCCTCCTTCCTTTCTTTTTGATATGATATGATTCTTAAATACTAGTCCATATTAGTTTTTTTTACATAGAAGGGATTCTTTGAATTGTTTTGAGAACAAAAAAAACATAAATATAAACTGGTAACCATATCATTTATTATGCTATTTTCAATTTTAATCACTCAGGTCAATAAACAGCAAATAGATCCAGTTTGTTTGCTTTGGTAAAATTATTATGCTTTAAAATTAAAATGCTTTTAATCTCAATAGTTCTGACTGTCAGTGAATTGTATAAAGAAATACAGATATTAAGAAAATAACGACATCATATTTGGGCATGCATTTTGTTTTTATAGCAGTGATAATATTAAAGAATGCTACAATAATTCAATGACATTTCATTCAAATTCACATTTCCAGTCTAGAGAAAGGAAGCTTTGATAAAATGCACCAATTTACAATAAGGATTGCTGTTAAATAGCATTTATATTTCAGACTTACTTGGCAAAATTGTTTTATATCTGTTTTTAGAAGCATGTCCTGGGATATTCAACTCATCAGCATCAATAAAATTGGGTGGAATTCTCTGAAGAGGGAGGTAAAGTACATATCAGAATGCAATCTGAGTTATTGCACATTTAACAAAAGTACTGAGCTCCTGAAAATGTTACTGTTAATATTGTGTTGATTAGAAGAGTAAGTAAATTTACTTCAGTGATAAAAGATAAAATATAAAATATCATATCTCTTTATTCTTCTGTATTTTTAATTGTGGACTGATATGGGAAAAGTAACTGTTATAAAAATGAAAGAATCCTGAAAGATTGCTGTACTTTTATTAGCAATTAATTCACTGTAAGCACTATTTATATAGCTCCTTGTTTAAGTAGTATTTGAAGCGTAACTTGCAGATGAGCTCAAGCTAAGGGCTATGTACGAATGAAGATTTGGCTGGCAACAATTAGTTGATTGGTATGTGGACTAGTGACCAATTATTGATGACAAAAAGCCCCCTGCTTGCCAATGACTATGTGATTTGTTCTTGGGTAGCTGAACAGCTTGGGGTTGTGAACAAGACAGTGAGAAGCCTTAATAACTCCATCTGTTCAGGAGCTCTCGCTGCAGTAACAACCACTTTAGCCTAGTTGAACTGTTGGAGCAGTCTGTCTTTCCTTCAGCAATTTAAGTAATATGTCAGGGATCATTTATAGGTGTGCACCAGCCAACCCTTGTTTCCTGCAAACAAGTTAAAGCATGTGGGGACAAAAGACCAAGAAGCATCATTCTGATCAGCACAAGAACCATCTCAGCAGATCCTGTGAACAGAAACTACTGAGCTGTTTTCCAGTTTTCCCTTCATCCATAACACCCAGGTAGTTGTTTTTTTTCCCTCTGTGTGTGTCTATGTGTGTGTGCATGCATGTGTGTCTGTAAGGGATAACGCAGTGTGGAGCTGGAGGAACACAGCAGACCAGGCAGCATCAGAGGATCAGGAAAGCTGATGTTTCAGATCCGAAACCGGACCAGGGTGGCAAGCTCAGACTAGATTGGCACAGTCTGGTGTCATGGCCTCCACTGCAGATCCTGGGGGATGTGGAAGTCCCACCACTTCACCACCTGGGTCCTCTAGGTCCCTGCCCACACAGCGCCAATTTTCCCTGTCTGCCAGGTCCAGGGCAAATGTCAGGGACTGTGCAGACAAACTTTGGACTGGGAGTTCTTGTCCATGTGCTCAACATGTTGTTAAAGATGACGCGGGTGCAAGGGATGTTGGTGAATCCAGGAAAGCTGCTCAATGTCGAGTTGTTCTAGGAATGGCCTGTGGTAATCTGGGGCCCAGAAGCAGACGTGATGGATTCCAATGGGGCAGGAGAGGTAGTTAATGAGACGAGTTCAGTATGGCAAGAAAACCTGCAAGACCTTGTGGTGGAAATCCCTCCGAAAGACTTGCATCACTCAGGCTTAGTTAAGAAAAGATAATGCTCAGCCGGATGCAACTCAGCCATACAGCAACTATGACATGACACTATCATGCAATAATGAAAAAGACGCTAATTTTAATCAACCTGTTCAGACACACCATGGCACACCTCAGAGGCCAGCAAAACTTGAATATGCGCATTTAGCAAAACATCTGTCACCATGTCCTAATAGAAATTGAGAGAAACTAAAACTAGAAACAAGGAACTGAGTAACCCAGTGTGGCCACTAGGTGGGGCCAATGTCTGGTCAGACAATAATTTAGACAAAAGGACATGTGCAGTAGTGGCACTTGAAGGCTTGTCAAACCACACATTTTAAGACATTTGTTTATTTTTCTGTTGCATGATGTATCAAATGTATAATGCTCTATTTGACTGCCAAAAAAAAAATCTGTCTTAAATCAGTTTCAAATTTTCTTTCAATCATAATTTTTACTCCTGGATAACTCTGATCACGTCTGTCAAGTATATAACAGTCTCTTAAATGTTAGACTTAAATGAATCAATTCCAGATACTCATATGTTTCTACGTTTTTGTATTCAAAATTCTCCTTTTCATAAGTGTCTTGACACTGATCAGATTCTGTGGTTATAATGCTGATAATGAGGAAAGATATATACTATATTGACTATGTATATCTTGTGGGCATTTAATTAAAACCCAGACCTAAATAGTTATTATAAAATAGACCCCTTGTTTTGTTCTTTCCTTTCCTTGAATTCAGTTTTAAATTTACTTTAATAATTTATGTACTGAACGAGATGGGGAGATAATAGTGTTCAGGAGTGAAATTATCACCAGCATGAGTACCCATATATATTTACAGGGCTAAGTGCTTGATCATTGAGTCCACATTGGTAGGTACAGATGTCTGTCAGTAATGTTACTCCGTAAACTTAGTATTAGGAAACGGTCCATAAGATGTAGTCAAAAAAAGAAGAGGTATTCATAGCAGTGAGAACATGACAACCATATAATCAGAACACACAGCAGGATCCCCTTGAAGAAGATATTCGTTAAATAGTTAATATCTGATGTTCAAACACATTCAATATAATACTCATTTATTTGGTTGAGACCAGTTGTGTTTAGGAGGGCACCAGTGTGGGTCCTTTAACTATATCCATGTGGTGAAAAGGAAAATACAAAATGGCATTGGAACAGATAGTATATATCTGGTTTAACCTACATGAGGCAGCTTGTTTGTAAAGCTTAGAAGATTCGAATATATATGTTCAAGTTCTGCAACTGTTTTGTATTGCTTCCACATTTGTGGCTTAGTTTTAAAGAGTTCAAGTGAGGTAACAGGTTTTTATCATGAACTACTTTAATTATCTATTTTACAATGTTATGACCCCTGCCCAGACCGCCAAATTTATGTCCTGATCTGGATGGAAACGAGTAACTTCTATTTTTGGAGTAAACAAAGTATGAGATCTGGAGGACTTGCTCAGAGAAAAAAGCCACAAGATTCCATGGCTTTGAACAAGCAACAAGTACACTTTATGGTACAAATTTGGAGCCAGTATTACAATCTAGAACATATGTACAACATTTTTATAATAACCCAGATAATAAGTAATGGGTGAGATCAATACCACACAGCACACATCAAGAAGCAATGTGACCAAGACAGATCCCATGGATTTCCAAGGAAATCTTCCAAGATGTGAATGTGACAGTGGGTCATCAAAACTCATTAAATTTTGCAAGGGATTGCAATTCTTCACTAGCACCAATTTGGCCTTAAAACTCCCTCCCAAGAACCACTGCAGGATAGACTGCCTCAACAACTGCCTCCATTCGGTCCATTCTGGTCAATCACCCTCCTTTCCTGGAACTATGCTCTCCTGGACTCTGAAAACTGCACTCAAATACTCACTTACAAACCTAGTTTTAGCCCCTCACTGACAGTTAGCTTCACCAACCTAAAACTGACCGTGGGTTTTTCCTGAGTTCTAATTTTGCTCAGTTGCATCCAGCAAATAATGCCTGTGGGCTTTTCAGTTCACATGGCTTCTTTCGGACTTCCCTGAGACCTCACTATATAGGACCATATATTCAACTGCAAATGACCTAACATGAAGATTGCTTCTGTTCTTGTTTGCGTCCTTCTCCAACGAACTGGAACTTTTGACCTCTTCAGTGACCCCTGAACTTTCCTGAGTGACATTTGGGAAAATGTTGCAAGAAGCCCCTCCCTGTTATCGGTGGAATTGAAAAATGCTCCCGAGCGACTCTTGGAACTGTCTGTTCCATAAATATTAACAGCACTAGATTTTCTAGCTTGCTTAATTTGAAAAAGTACAAAACAAATTGAGGATTTAATCACAGTTAAAATAATGGATTTGAACAATGTGGAAAAAGAAGCCTGTTAATTTGGAAACATTGGATCCATTGTTCATGGGCTATTTACAGATTGATTTTTGATGCTTTTGGTTTGCTTTAACCTCTGGCAGGTTTGTTAGCCCTTTGCTCGTGTTCAAAATTCCGGGAGGTATAAAATGGGATTGTCCTATCACTAACCAATATTTAATAAAACTCAGATAAAACTCTAAACCAGAGACAGAATCTCCTCCACACATGGCAGCTGCATATGATGGTGAGTTTGTAAAGCCCTGAATATTTGGGCCTTGTGGCACAGATTTTCTGTAAGGAAATGCACCATAGCTGGTCTATTGCTTATGCACAAAAGTGCAATTATTTTAATCTAGACAAATAATGCACTCTAAGTTACAGACTGAATCTCTCTGGAAATCATTTCATACCATTTTTCTAGGATATGTATTGATCTTCAAAGTTTGAAAGTGCCTTGAGACAAATCCAAAAGGCGGAATCTTATAGCATTGTGGATGACATGGCAATGAGAAGATTTGTGGCAGCATCAGATGAAAAGTCCAGTGAGGCTTATTTCAGGAGCATTTTACTCCATCATTTATACTTCTGACAAGCAGTGAGGCGATTTTCTCACTAGGCAGCAACAAGTTGCCAATTAAGGAGTTTTATAGCTTGTTAAACACCACAGCTTGCCTTATTCGAATTCGGCTTCCTACCTGACCAAATGCGGCAAACGAGCTAGACATTGAGGAATCCCAACATGGAAATCTGTGTAGGTTCTTGGTGATTTCAGCTCACTGCTGGCTGCAAGGAGTCTCCATGCTGCTCAGTTTCAAACCACATCTCAGGGCACAGTCCTTGGCCACCATCAGCCGTGCCCACTCCTCCTTCATGGACATTGGCATCCAACATTTGCCAACCCCTCACGACCATCCTGGCACCTCTCCAATTCACTTACAGGCCATGTAGAAAGCACAGTCTGAGTGACATTTAGAAAACTGTTGCAAGAAGCCCCTCCCTGTTATGGGTGGAATTGAAAACTGAGTTCTGGATGCCCTGACAACTAGCAGTGAAAGGCTGCAGCAAGGACACATTGCCTGCAGGGAGAGGCACCACCTCACTGATTGGACTATGTTGTAGCTCAGGGCTACTCAATTACTCATTATTTTAACAGCATCCATGCCTTGCCTTGCCTTGCCTCACCATGCCATCCCCATTCAACTTCAGTCAGTGCTAAGGCTACTAGCACTGTGATGCTGATATGTTCTCGAACGCAGACACATAGATGAGCTGCTTATCGGTAGGGAGCTTTCTGGAAGGAAGGAGGAACACCTCTTGCTGCGCAGCACACCAAAGCATCAATCTAACTCCTACAGCATGTGCCATCAAACACACTTGCATGTTCACTCAACAAAATGGTGAGATTGGAAACTGGGTGGTGGCTAGTTCTCAAGCCAATGAAAGTGTGGGATGATAGGGAAGGGTATAGAACTGTGTCGGTCAGGGATCCCAGTATCGTCAGTAAGGGGTACTGTCTACACACAGTCCATAGGCTTGGCCATGGTCAGTCAACAGGGGATCTGCCTAACCACAGTCCAGGGAGTGGGCAATGATCAGGACTAGCTCCAGCAGGCAGAAGAGTCCCGTATCATCAAATGGGATTTATAAACACAGCAGTCTGGGTTTAGTCACTCATGTTGTTTAGGAGTTGCTCATCAAAGCAAATCCAAGATCTGGCACAAGCCCAACATCCAGGTGACCATTGCCTGCACAATGGATGCAGTAATTCCACCACCAGCATTGATTCCTGGTGATCAACAGGGAACCTCAAACCTGGATCCCAGCAGAACTCTCAGGTAACAACGTCACCAATAGTGAGAGGAGTACGGGTAAGCAACTGGCTAGGAGGATCACTGAGTATTTCCCAGGTTACTGACTGTAGAAATAGCCACTAAAATACACAGCTTTGTTTTAATTTGCTTGGACTTCAGTACAGAAATGAGTCTGACACTTGATTTGGGATGGGTGACTGTGGTAATCTTGGCAATTGTGATAATTCATCTCCTTTGTACAATTAGATCCAGCAACTACTAGGGATATGGGCCAGACGCAGGCAAGTGGGACTGTTTAGTTTGGGAAACCTGGTCTGGTGTGGATGAGTTGGATCGAAGTGTCTGCTTCAGTGCTGTATGACTCTATGACTCTAAATGCAGTGTGAGGCATCGATCCATCAATTAATAAGAAGGGTGCATGTAGGGGCAACACTTACAAAACAAGTTTGGTATCAAGGCTTAGGTGCAGGACACTAAAGCAGAGGCATTTGCAGAGATGAGAATAAGGACAGTGCTTGAGGAATAATCAAGGTGTATGGGAAGGACATGTGGAACAACATCAGATGACATGGTAGGCTACAGGACTTGGGATTTTATTGGTAGGTACCACCAACGTGATCTCCACAGGGGAAGCATGGAGAAGCAGGGCGGACATTCATTTACATCAGATTTCAGGAGGCAGAGAGGATAGTTGGAGGTGAAGTTCTGGGTATTTTGTGGGTAATAGATGGAAATGGGCTGTCACAATAGTGCAAGATAAAATGGGACATGGAGGCTTTGAGGGTTACTTGGCAACCAGGCAGGGCTGGATGCTAATGGTGTCCAGCAGCTGCATTCCCTTCTATCACTTGCCGTTCTCTAGATGCTAAATGCTGGTGTAAAATTGCTCAGACAATGCCCAGAGTAGGCACAATCAGTGCCAATTTGATGGGCACAAGTGTGGATAGCATGTCTGCTGGATATTAGGACATTAAGGGGACAAATATGTGAAGCATAAGTTTGTAAATCCCAGGAACATTTCATTTACAAACATTTCTTCACCCGTTGGCAATACATGCAGGGTGAACATGCTTAGATTTCAGAAGCCAGTCAATGTGACTTGCGCCATTCCATTAATGCTTGCAAATCTAACATTGCCATCTCAGAAATGCAGCGGTTAGCAGCAATAACTTAAAAGACAGGTGAATACTGACCAGAAATATCCTAATGCCAGTGGAATTGTCAATGCTACTGTGGGACAAGGGGAGCATCGCTACATCAGGAAACTACAAACCTGTCAGCTTGACCTCAATAGTGGGAAAACTGATGGAGGTCATAATACAGGATAGAATAAATAAACAAGGAGAAAAAATAAATTAATACTAGAGAGTCATCGTGGCTTTGTCAAGAGCAAGTCATGTCCAACAAATTTAAATGAGATCTTTGATGATGTAGCACAGACAGTAGATAAGGATAGTGCTATGGATGTTGTATATTTGGACTTTCAGAAAGTATTTGATTGGGTAGCACATGTCAAGTTGGTTAGTAGATTAGAAATATTTGGGATTGCTGGGTTCTTGGCAGCATGGATTATAAATTGGCTAAAGGATAGGAAACAGAGGGTAGGTATAGATGGGCATTTCTCAGATTAGAGATGAGTTGGAAGTGATGTTCCCCAGGGATCAGTGTTAGGATCCTTGCTTTTGCTGATTCATATACATGATTTGGAGATGCACGTTGAGAGTAGAATCTTTAAATCTGAAGATGATACTAAGCTAGGAAGAGTAACAAATTGTCGGCATATGCTGAGCAACTTTAGAGTAACATTGGCAAGTTAGCCAAATGGGCAGATACCTAGCAAATGAATTTTAATGCAAAGAAATGTAAGTTATTGCATTTTGGTAGAAGAAACATGGAAAGACAATACAGGCTCAATGGTACAGGAACAGAGGGTGTTCAAGGTTCTCATCTTGGCCTGCTGTGAACTGCACAATTGTGACAGGCAATGAGGCAATATCATTGTTGCTGAGGAACCGGGGAATGGGAGCAATCATCTGAGGATAAGAACGAGAGAGACGAGCAAGTTTTCCTTGTGGATGACAGAGCTTAGCTGCATCCGGCTCTACAAGGCAGACAGGATATGATTAACAGTTGGTTCTAATAGGTGAGCACTGGGTACAGAAGACCATCTCAGACTGTCAAGATCAAGATGACAGCACTGGATTCATATCATGGCAGCAAACTGCAGCCTCTATTTATTTTTATTTTTTTATTTTGGAAAATCCCTTCAGAAAGCTGAACACAATTAAAAAAAAAAATAAGCTACAGCTTGAAGTATTTTTACCTGGAATGATTTCAATAACCTATGTTTGCAATGTGTAGGAAGGACAGTGGTAACCACCCTGGGATGCCATATCTTAATTTCTGTCCTTCCCAGGTGACCAAATTTCAGAAAGATAATAGTTGCCACAGAAATAAACATAAATTTAATCAAAACAAAAATCAAAAGCAACATATTGATCATTTAAATGAGATCATAATAGAAATAGAATGTCCCAACCAACACAGCTTTGTAAGGAAGCCTGATTTCATCATTTGTTTAAGAAGCTTAGCTTCTTCAGAGGGGGGAAAGGAATGAGCCCCAATTCCTGATCTTCAGGAAAGAAAGGGACTCTGACTGAGAGTAGCATCTTGCAAAACCTTTCACTTGCATTTACCTGTATTTGAAACTCCAGCTTCAAATAAACATAATATTTAAAAAATAAACTTTCACTTTTACATTTTCTTCTAATGGAAAGCTATTATTAATTATGGGAACCCTCTGAAAGAACTGTAATGTCATTTATCAGTAAAGCAGAGGTCAGGTTGTATGATATGCTCTGGTGGGCCATATGTGGTCTGTGAATGTATGAATGAATGAATGATTTTATTGTCATGTGCATTTTACAGTAAGAATACAATAAAATACTGTGAAAAAGCTTTCATTTGTTGCCACAATTTGGTGCCATTTTAAATAATTTAAGAATAAGGAAAAAAAAGAAAGATCAAAGAGAGTCCATTAGTCCTGAAACAGCTTATCACCATCAATGATGCTTGTGCTGCCATTCCTCCTCCACTGCTTCACTGCCATCTACACTGGACCCAACTAACGTCGATGTCGCCAATCTTTAGGTGCCATCTTTCCCTGCTGGGCTTATACTTCTCCACCACTGCCTGATCATAACCTGCACTGGTCCAACCAACATTGGAGTCGCATCTCTCGCCTCTGGGCCCACCTCATCGATGCTGTTGTGATGCCCTTCTGCCACCATTTCACCACCGTCAGTGCTGGACCCAACCAACGATGAAGTCACCAATTCTTAGGTGCAACCTTTTGCCTCTGAACCTACCTCGTTGACATCGCCTCTGCCAATGTAGCAGCTGCCAAATCCGATACCAGGTCCTGTGCTCATCCCGGAAAATTAAGTAAGGGCTCACTCAAGGTCTGCACTGGGTCCACTGTCCTCTCTGCTGGACCCACTCGAGGTCCATGCGCTGGGTCCACTCAAGGTCTGCACTGTGCTCGCTTGGGGTCATATGCTGGACCATAGGTTGGACACCCTTACTATAGGAAACATTCACTGGCTGCTACAAAAATTGGAAAAAGTCTTGTTTGCCTAATCAAGTTGAGTAAGGAAGTTATATGTGTCATAGGACTGTGAGTAATGAAACAAAATTAAGTGTTGCACGAATTCCTATTCTTTATTAAGTCATTTATGAAGACTATAGTCAACCACATAATTCCTTTCCTTCTTAGATAAATTATTTCTTTGCATCTCAATTTTTGGTTGCTTGTTGGCATTCAAGTTTTCATTTCCACGGAAACAATGCTCTATACAATACAACAACGAGAACCAATAGGTGTTATAAATAGCACACACAAACAGACATTGCTGGAGGAACTCAGCAGGTCTGGCAGCATTTGTGGATAGGGAAATAAAGTTAATGTTTGAGTCCAGTGACTTTTCTTTAGTGATATAAATATGTTGCATTGCTGAGCTCTTGATTTTCCCCCACAAGGGGTCTGAGCAGACAAGTAATGCTCCAACAACTGCTGCACAAAACAATGAAATGTTATTCAATACAATCTATTTTCCAACTTATAACTTGAAAATACTTTACCGAAAATTCAGCTTCCAGTTCTTGTGTGTTATTCGTGGCTTCCTTGAGTTGCTCCTGGTTTAACACAGAACTGGTGGTTTTGAGGTACAGTAGAGTTATTTCTCGAGGGGTAGACTTGATGGGTTCTATATTACCCAAAGCACTCACATCCAGTGTAAGAGATACATTCGAGCCTCTCCTAAAATATATAAAAAAGGGAAAGTGTTATATTTACTTAAGAGTCATAATGGGAATTTGCTTGGGACTTCTGCTCCACTGTCTTAACTTCGCAATTTTACCACTTTTGTACAAGAGAAAGGATTTCTGCTGATTCTTCATTGAAGTGAAGTCGATGAGCAACAAAATTACCAAGGAAATTCTACTTTGTTATGTCAAACTGTTAATCTTTTCAACGGCATTACATATTTAAAATATAAACAGAAAATGTTGGAAATATAAAGCAAGTTGAGAAATAGAGCTAGCATTTCAGGTGACTGAATTTCCAACTTGTTGTACATGCTGCAGAATCAACCACTATCAGCTAATTTTGATGTAGAATGTTGCCACCGTTCTTCCTTTCCACTTATTGTAAATAAATATTAAATCAGTTCAGACAGCCCCTGGTGATGCATTCTTTCAACAGGAACTTACAAAGAAAACTTAGATTAGAATGTCATCACTAGAATGATAATGCACCCTGGCTGTCCCAGTGACCCCTGGTTACTAAAGGCCAATAGCATGCTGATGGTCTTCTCAAGATTCCTCTCCATGGACAACCAAGTATGAACATAACCACTGAACAGGGGCAGACAGTCAAGCACCATAATACCTCCACAATTCACTGCCTGGACATGTTGAGAATTCTCCTTTCTAGATAGTTTCTAATCAACCTATTTAGAGATGCTATTACATACCTCTAGGGTGGGTGGGATTTGAACCCAGATCTCCTGGTTCAGAGGTAGGGAAACTACTACTCTATACTGTTTCTAAGGGCCTACTTAATTAACAATGGTAAATCATGAACCACTCATTACTGTTAACAAGAAGAGGGGCTTGTCTTCACAAAATATAATTTATTGCATGATAGTGACAGATGCAAGTTACATTGTCTAGATAGCTGTAATAACAAAGACTATCAGAAGACAATGATGACACATCTGTCTCCATTGAGATTTTGAGCTAGGTTCTTCCCTTCACTACGCAACAGGATACGATGGCTTCAGCTTGGGTGGAGTCTCAAAATTAACTGGTATTATTACCCTGTACCGCATTTCTCCTTCTCCATGCTTTTTGTTTCCATTGTTAACATTTGTGTATGTAACCACAATTACATTTACTACTGTCCCATTTCCCCTCAAGTCTCTGACATCACAAATTGTCAGGCAACCTGGAGGTTTCACAATTCTTCCAGACACCAACTATTTGAACTTAAAAAGAAATATAGGTCTTTGGCTTGAGCACTGTTAATCCTGGTTCTGATCTTCAGCATGTAGGATCTGTAAATCAATTTTGTCATGGTGTTCCCCATTGGATTCACCCCAATCAAGCAACAGTGGATGATTTGTCTGCAATGAGACATGTTTACTGCTGTTCCTGCATTCAACTCCCTTAGATGTACTCACAATATATGCTTGTTGTTGGTCTCTGACACTTGAACAATCATATATGCTGGTTTGAAATCCCTGAAATGTATCATCACCCTTGACCAAGTGTGGCAACCATTATGCATGGAGACATTCAGTAAAGTAAGTAGCCCTTTGCTCCCAATAAGATTACACTTTCTTACATTTTGTAGTCCTGTGGACTCAACTGTGAAGTCAACCTCTACAGTAAAATTATGAGTTAAATCTTCAGCTTTATATCAGCAACAATGTTGATTGTATTAGCTGCACTGAAGTTGCATGGATCAGTAGTTTACCAAGGCTATATAAAAGTCAACATTTTGATCTGGAGCCCATGCCCAGCTTTCCTATTTGACCATAGGTATTGCAACATGCTGGTTACATGTTCAAATCCAGAAATGGCTGCAAGTTTACTGAAAGACTCATTGGCAAATTTTCGTACAATAGTGTCACATATTGAGATGTCATCCAAACATATTATGCCTTCCTGACATCTGTGTAATAATGCAACATCCCTCTCTTCCCTTTTAAAAATAGTAAACCTGTTCCGATAAATACACAGACAGATACACCTTTGTACAATAACTTTAGCAGTGTACAATAGCAGTAGATGGTCCTTATACAATTATCATGATTCAGCATCATTCTACATTGTACTTTCTGTCATTGCGGATGGATGTGCGTAATACATCCTAGATGTCTGGTTGTTGTCTGATGTGGTACCTTCAGTATCAAAATCATCACCTAGTAGGACAGATAATTAGTCAAGTATAATTCAGGTGTGCCATCTGTATTATTATAAGCTTCGGCTATTGTTTGTGACAATGTAGGCTGGATACAGAATCACAGTTTTGTTCCATGAACCCATGTATTTATGTGAACATCTAGAACGGTGATGCATTTGAGCTGATTTAAATTGACATAATTGCCTACATGGTATTGGTTATGGTCTTGTATTATTTTGCTCCATTCTGTCCAACAATGTATTATACACCATGTGTATGGGTGGTAGGAGTGTGTAAGGGAAGAATTATGTGGCTCTTTCTTCCAAGCTGAGGAGCACACAAAGATTTAATATGGCTATCAAAATATCTTGGCAAGTAGTTTTGAAAATAGTGATCATGGATCTTACCATATGGATGGTGCATTTTGCCAGACTATTTGATTGAGCATAGTGAGGAGAGGATGTAATGTGTTGGATACTCTACTCACTGTACATGTCTTGGAAAATGGCATGAGTGTATTGCAAATCATTGTTGGACACAATTTGTTGAGGAACACCAAGCATAATAAAATGGTGGCTAATGTGTCAAAGTTATTGCACTAATGGTAGGTTGCTGAATTTGCTTGGCTTGTCTATTATCAAATCAATGTGGAAATGCTATACCGGTACAGAGGAGTATCCTTGTTCTGAGTGGGATTTAGAAATTGTCTAAGGGTATTGGGAACAGTTACCTCTGAGCCTGATTTGCACTGTATTTCAAAATCATACCCTTAGGTCTTTATTAGTAGAAATTGTGGTCATGGAGATGTACTTGTGAGAGGTTTCTAATAGATCATATGCAATAGCTTGTGGTTGGTCTGAACAATGAAATACTTGCTGAATAGGTATATTGAAGTCTTTTCACTCTGAAACTGAAGTGTACACTTCCCTTTCCATGTTGGTATACTTTGTCTGAGCTGTCATGGGATGTGGGAATTGCTGGCTGGTCCAGCATTTATTACCTGTACTTAGTTGCCCTTGAGAGGGTAATGGTGAGCTTCCTCCTCAAACTGCTGCAGTCCACGTCTTATAGGTGGACCCGCACTGCCGTTACAGAAGGTGTGTCAAATTCATCACACGCACTGTATGCCTGCACAAAATCTGCAAATTGTAACATTGCAGTTACCTTTTGAACATTATGCTGGAAACACCATGGATGGAAGTTCTTTGGTTGTTTCTACTTCACACGCTGCTGTTGAAAATTGTGTTGCACTTTGGTTTCCTCTGAGCACTCAGGCTTCTTACACATTGTGGCCCAATGTCCTGTTACAGAACATAGCTTACATAGCTGGACACCGTTTTTCTGGTTGTGACAATCTATGTTTTGGTTATTTTGCTGACAGCATTGACAGTTGCAATAATTATTGCAGAGTTAAGCACTTGCTGATGCTGCTGTCCTGCAACCATTGCTTTAGAATTACATCCTTCCTTAAGCAGTATGTCAATCATACAATCTTTAGGCTGTGCAGGTGTGACTTCCAGAAAGATTTGACGGACGTTAGGTTCAGTGGCCGGCTCCATCAGCATTGCGGGGAAATTAATTTGGGAAAATCACATTCTGGATGTCTGTGTCCCTATCTGTCTATAAATTGGTTGATATCCTTCGTTGGTTATTGGAGGAATAATATGAACTCAAAAATCTGTTAAAAGTTGAATTGTTGTTGAGATCTTTGTGTCCATCAAAGAAGTATGAAAAAGTTTTATTATTCACAATATTTTCCTTCCCAATGTGAGAATATGTTTCACTGTTTTTCTTTATCAACTATCTGTTGATCTGTGAAGTGAAGATTCATTATTTCTTTGGATAATTGAAATTCTGATAGAATGTCACTGGAGTGCCATTCCTTATTCAGATGTTTGCTTTCCATTCTTACCATACAGCTTTGAACATTTTGAAAAAAAGGATGCCTGTATGTGAAGGATCTGTTTTGCTTTTTTTATTTTATTGGCTTCTCTATTTATGTTTCTCTCCTTATTGTTGCTTTAGAGGTTGCCGTTTTCTTTCTCATAGTATTTTCTTTTAAAAGAAGTCAGTGAATAATGACTAAAAGTGACATTTCTGCAAAGAAGTATCAGAGCGACATCATATCAGCCTTTTTTCTACTTTTGCACTGTTTCTAAAGAAATCAAAACAGTGGAGTTGACTGTGCACAGGAAAGGACTTAACAGTATCTAGAAAATATTTTCTCACATTTTGGGCTGTACTTCAGTCTAGAATCACTTTGACAACTTGGAGCTGTCTTCGGTCTCTTGCACAGCATTTTCTTTTAAAAGTCGGACATACTTTGTGTTTCTTTTCTGACAGGGAGAGAGTCTACTGAGGTTGCTGTATTATCAGTCGTGGTTGTTAGATGTGAACTTCAGCATCACATTCAGACAGCAACTGTAACTTTCTGAAATTTGCTCAGACAGAGCAAAATTGAAACGTGCCCCGACACATTCAGATAACTATAAGGGGAAAGAAAAAGCTTCTCACAGCTGCTACTGCAGCAATATTAACCTGCTGTGAATAGCTCCTTGTGCTTATTTCTGTCACCATCTTCTAGACCTCACTTGTTACCACCATAATGTGGTTTTCTATCTGTTATCCCATTTAACCTATAGCACAGAAGCTCAGGTCCTTATCAAGACCGGATATTTTGAATTTATGAACAACTATGTACACTAACATGATATCTCAGTTTTACATATCCTGTCTAGATCAATGTGGATTTCACAAGCTTCAAAATCTCCCCTACCCCTACCGCATCCCAAAACCAGTCCAGCTCGTTCCCACCTCCCTAACCTGTTCTTCCTCCCACCTATCCCCTCCTC